CGCGCTCGGGGCCATTCTGTCCGCCGCGGGCCGCCGTAGCGCCCGTCCGCCCTGCGCCTCCGCCGCTGTTGGAGGCCGCGCCGAGCGGGGCCGGACCGGAGGGACGCGGGGAGGAGGAGGAGGGGAGGAAGGGAAAGCGCGGGGGTGGGGGGGGGGGGGAGGAGGAGGAGGTGGTGTCCGTTCCCGGTGGGGTGGGAGCCATGAGCGATATCCGGCACTCGCTGCTGCGGCGGGACGCGCTGAGCGCCGCCAAGGAGGTGCTGTACCACCTGGATATCTACTTCAGCAGCCAGCTGCAGAACGCCCCGCTGCCCCTCGTCGACAAGGGCCCCACCGAGCTCCTGGAGGAGTTCCTCTTCCAGATCCCCAAGGAACGCGGCGCTCCGCCCAAGGTGGGCCCCCCCCGGGCGGCGGGGCGAGGCCTGCAGGCGCCCTGAGGGACCGGACGGGGTCCCCGGTGGCTGGTGGAGGCCGAGGCCTCGGGGGAAGCAGGGCAGGCCCCGGGGGATTGGCGGCCTAAGGAGCGCCCCGGCAGGCCGGATGCAGCTCCAGGGAATGGCTATGGAGGCCGAGGACCCAGGAGCTCAGGACGGGATCCCTGGCGGGGCTGCTGCTGGAGACTGAAGTCCCAAGAGGCCGGGATGGGGTCCCTGGGGTGGGGGCTGCTGTAGGAGGCCAGGCCTGAGGAGGAGAGGGCAAGGTTCCTGGGGGGACTGCTGTAGGAGGCCAAGGTTTTAGGAGGACAGGGTCCCTGGGGGCTGCTACTGGAGAGCAAGGTCCCAAGAGGACAGGGCGGGCTCCTTGCAGGCCTCAGTAAGGGTCACTGGTGACCGAGGGTTTTTTTTGGTGGGGAGAGGTCTGGCTGGCAAGGCCCTGATGGACCAGCCAGGACTCTGGGAGACCAGGCAGGGCCCCAGGAGGTGTGGTGGGGCCCAGGGTGCAGTGGCTGGGCCCTACCAGAGTTTTTAGATGGCTGGGTGTGGGTTGGAGCTGAGATGGGGACCTTCTGGAGAGCGGTGAGCAGAAACTACAGCTGCTGCTGAATGTTGGGGTGCATGGACCTGGAGTCCAGTGGGCTGCTGGGCCTGGCTGTGACCTCTCCAGCTGCCCAGCAGCACCCTTAGTGCTGTTATTTGCAGAGGGAGGGAATATTTTTCACCCCAGTATTGCTGTTGGTCTTATCTCTTGGTTTGTAGGCAGCACTTGCAGGTGCAGCAAGCACCAGTCTTGGGTACCTGGGTATTTGAATACAACCAAGAGCTTTCCAGTGTAACTAGGTACATGCAGAGATGGTTCAGGAAGCTTAAATATGTGTGTACTGTGCATAAAGACTGAGATTCTAACATCTGAGGGAAGCTCGGCCTTTGCTGTTCCTGGCTTTTCACGAAAGCGGCTCTTGGCTCTTCAAGAGCCCCAGTGTATTTTGCAGCTTTTCTTTCGTTTTCTTTCAGAGATTGAATTCACTTCAGGAACTCCAGCTCCTTGAGATCATGTGCAATTACTTCCAAGAGCAAACCAAGGATTCGGTCCGGCAGATCATTTTCTCGTCTCTCTTCAGCCCTCAAGGAAACAAAGCAGATGACAGCAGGATGGCTTTGCTAGGAAAGCTGGTTTCCATGGCAGTGGCTGTGTGCAGGGTTCCTGTTCTGGAGTGTGCTGCCTTCTGGCTGCAGGTACAGCTTCTGTGTAGGCAGGGAAGGGGCGAGGGGGTGGGCTGGGATGGCTACGGGTGACCTGGGGCAGCAGAGTGTCACCTAAGGGTTGGTGACAGCTGGTTGCAGTCAGCTAATCTTCCGTGGCTGTTGAAGCTGATAGAACAGCTGGCTGCTGCAGCTACGTTCACCCCACGTCTGTGCTCATGCCCATTCCTTTGCTGCAGTGAAAAGGAGAGCTTTTGCTAATCCATTTGTGCACCGCACTGGCAGAAGAAAATTTGGTTTACTTGTCGCTTTTTTTTATACTGTCAGTGAAAGTTTTATTGATTTTTTTTTTTTTAAATTTTTTTTTCTTCCCCTCCCCTTTTTCCATGCAACCCTTGCATGTTGAAAGGGGTCAGTGGAGCGTTTGGCCAACACAGGGAACCAAACCATGGCAGTTCATGGCCACATTGGCCAAAAAAGCCAACTCGGGAGTTTGGGAAATAAATTGTGCCTGGTGTGCAAGTTTGCACGTGGCAGAAGAGGCAAAACCTCTCTCTTGAGAGCTAGGGACAAAATACCTGTGTCTGTCTTTAGTGAGTGCAGGGATCTCTGTCAATGTCAGGGATCTCCTATGTCTCCCCCTTTCCCATTGAGATTCCCCACTGTAGACCTTGGGAAGTGCCTCTTTGTTCCTGCTGCCCTTGTGGGGTGTCCAGAAGGCACCTGCTTTACAGAAAGGGAAGAGCAGAAAGACTGTGCTGGGAGGGAAGGGTGGTAGAGCCAGACCAGGACTGTTTCTGTGGGGTCCCTCTTGTCCCGCCTGGTGAGCCTTTGTTACAGGACAAGGGGGTGTGACTTGGAGAGCAGAAGGTGGTGTAGTTTCTTGCAGGCTGCAGATTTTAAGTGACATGAGGATTGCACAAAATTTTTCCATGTTAATAATGTCAAGCGTAACTAAGAGGTTGCTGAACTAGTTGTTCTGGAACTGAACTAGTTGCGCTACAGAACCGTGATGCTGAAGTCAAAATATTGATGTAAAAGGTTTTAATTTTAAACTACAGGTACTGTAAACACAAAATACCACCATCTATTTCAATATTGTGAAATAGCAATTTTATTTCTGTCTGAGTGGACGCGTGCAGAGAGAGAGAGAAGGTGCTCTTCAGTTTTGGGGAAGCGGAAAAACAAATGTTGAAGCAGCGGAGCGGCTGGGTGATGCGGGCAGGCGGAGTGTTTGGGTGACACTGACTTTAGTGCTGGGCTCTGTAGAATTTTCTGTGTCTTGCCTTTAATCCACTTTTCCTCCTGTGCCCTCCCGTTGCCCTGCAGCGGACGCCCGCCGTGTACTGCGTGCGGCTGGCCCGAGCCTTGGTCGATGACTACTGCAACTTGGTGCCGGGGTCCATCCAGACGCTGAAACAGATATTCAGTGCCAGTCCTCGCTTCTGCTGCCAGTTCATCACGTCGGTCACAGCCCTCTACGACCTCTCTTCAGGTAAGTGCTCCCCATCTGTGTCCTTCGAAGTAAGAGGTGCAGTACAATGCAATGCAAATTAACTGCTGCAAGCGAGTTAACTGCTGAAATTCTAAAGATGCCTGTTAACCGTGTAATTATTGCCAGAAGCTGCTCAGGGGTGTGGCTGTTGCATCATCTGTCACTGGGGTGAGAATAAAAATAACCAGGCAGTGGCTGAAGAGAGTCTTTTGCTGGAGAAGCAGCCAAGTGACGCCTGACACAAAGGGCAACGTCCTGCCGCAGAGGGCAAAGGACACGGGGGCCTTATTGATTGAGCAGCTCTAAGGAGTGAAAGCTGGGGCAGTTTGGCCTCCCCGTGGTGTGTCACCTACCCAGCATGAAGGCTCTGTCAGTCCAATTCCCCCCAAAAAGGGGGAAAATGCAAATTCTGAACGTTTCTAAGCTGGAGCAGGATTTCTGCTGAGCAGTGACAAGAAATGCAATCAACTGGGTACCTCCGATGCACTCTTTACTGCGTGTCACCAGGCCTCAGGTGGCTGTTGCTCTGACCCTAGAAATGTGTAGGTGTCCAAAATAAGATTGATTTACCTTTACTCAGTGAGGGGGACGGGGAACTCATAGTAGACTAGGCAACAACCATACACTAAATACCAACATATCATCCAAAAAAGCAAATGCCATTTGTTAGCGATAAAGGGAGTGTTTTGCACAGTCTTCTCCAGATAAACTCTTCAAGGCCAGGCTGGATGGGGCTTTGGGCAGCCTGGTCTAGTGGGAGGTGTCCCTGCCCAGGGCAGGGGGGTTGGAACTAGATGATCTTGAGGGTCCCTTCCAACCTAAACCAATCTATGATTCTATGAAACAGCTTGACATTAGCAAGAGAGAGATGCAGGCTTAGAGTTACCTTTTTTAAAAGTATTTGGTAGAGCTTGTAGCGTGTTCTTCCTCAATATTTTATAGCTGTTTTGTGCAACCACTTGAAAGTCCATCCAACTACTTGAAAGACATTTCAGAAAGGAAATAACATGAGTTATAGGAAGTAATTTTTTAAAATCCCTTCATTTGAGGTGTTATTGGTGACACAGCAAAAGGAAGCTCGCTCTTCAAAGGGCGATCTATAACTGGGCAGTCTCCACTGTGTCCTGAGGACAGGGGTCAACCACAGAAACAGCAGTGTCTGTGACACTGGGAGGTCTCAGAAAAGCTGAACACTGGAAAATACTGATTCTGTGTCCAGTGCATATTGGTAATTCTGTAGTTCAGATGATTTGTCCCAGAAGTCATTCCAGGTATGAAAGACCCGACTAGATAGTTGTGCTGAGCCCTTTGCTGGCGCTGTACACGACTGGCAATGAAAGTACCTCACCTGCCCCTGGGATGGGATGACGCACGGTTACTGTGAAGTCAGTGTTTCTCTTGTCTGTAGTCGAGCGTCAGTTCCTGACCACATTTCACTCCTTACTTGAAGCTTTAGTTACTTGAAGCTTTACTTACTTACTTGAAGCTTTACTTACTTACTTGAAGCTCTTATAATCCTTTACCTGTCATGTGATTGTGTGAAGTTTTTCCACAAAGACGTACTTGCTTAGGTAATTCTTACAGGAAATTAGTTGGATGAACTGGGGTGAGGAGAAGGAAGTGCCAACAAGTTTTTCCTATTCCCTTGCCCATTCTACTTTCTGTGCCAAGGGATAAGCGGAGACCGAGTTCAGAGACAGAACAAGATGGGTGGGAGAGAAAGAAAAGGACAAAAGAAGCTTTACAGGGAAAGGGGATCAATGGTGGCCTTTGGTGATGTCTTCAGAATAGGTGGAGAAGGTGAAGTTGTCAGAAACATGGTTGTGTCTTCCCTGGGGCAAACGAGCATAGATCTTTGGTGTCTTGGGAAAAAGAGTGGAGTTGGGGAGGCTTTGAAATTGTGATTGTGACAGTGCAGGAAGGGGGTGTGTGAGAGATTAATTAAAGACTGCTGCCCTCTGCTCCAGTGCGAGGCGAGACTTACTCAACAATATCTTTCCCATCTTCAGATGACCTCATCCCTCCTTCGGATCTGCTCGAGTTGATTGTTTCCTGGATCTTTGAAGACCCCCGCTTGATCCTCATCACCTTTCTAAACACTCCTATTGCGGCCAACCTGCCGATAGGGTTTTTAGAGCTCACCCCACTGACTGGACTGATCCGTTGGTGCGTGAAGGCCCCCTTGGCTTACAAAAGGAAGAAGAAAGCTTCTCTCTCAAATGGACACCCCCCCAGCAAAATTGCCAAGGACTCGACTTCAGGAGAAGACAGAGATTGCCACCAGCTGTATTCAAAACTGCATCTAAGTGTCCTGCAGGTTCTTATGATGCTTCAGGGGCATCTAACGGAGAAGAACCTTTATGGGCGCCTGGGGTTAGTACCCTTTGACCACGTGGTTCCACTCGTTGAGGAAATTAACAGACTGTCTGACGAACTCAATCCTCTCAATGCATCCAAAGAGATTGAACTGGCTCTAGACAGACTGGCTCAGGCTTTGCAAGTGGCCATGGCATCGGGAGCGCTCCTGTGCACCAGAGGTGAGCTGTCGGTGGGGCTGGCGGAGACCCTGCCATGGGATTCTTTTCCTCCTGTGTGTGGATGTTGTAAGAGGGGAGTTTTTGGATGGGGAGAGTAAAGATCAACATGTTCAGGGCAGAATTAGTGGTTTATCTCTCTTAGGAAGCGATAGTGCAGGAAATGCTTCAGGAAATATAACTGGATGGGGAGTAAGAAAGGAGAGATTGTTGATGCAGTAGCTTTGCGGAGCTGGAGAATGGATCTTCAACCGTGCAGTGTGCACAAGGGGGGTGGATATGGGTGTTTGACCCCCTTGGAATTGCTTTGTAGCTATTTAAAAAGCACTGTTTAATTGTGCTTCTATTTGGCTTCTCTGAGTTTGTCTGCTGGAGGAGAAACCATGGGTGGGTGTGCTGGGCGAGGAATTTGAAAAGCAAACAAAAAACTGCTCATCTGGAACTTCTGGGCCTTCACCTCTCCCGTAATGAGACCCCATTACAGTGTGCACAATGTTGGTTAAACTTAGTAAAGAAGCCTGCTAATGTGGCTTTCATCTCTCTTTTCCTGTTGCCAAAACCATTTCTTTCCAAAAGACCTGCGGAGACAAAAAGGGGAAGTGCCATAAGGCAGCACAGGGTGGGCCAGACATACTGTTTTGTTGATACCTTCTCTTGAATCAAAACAGAAGCCAGAAGGCTCCAAGCTCCCCAGAGCCTGGGCAGTTAGTGCAGACCCCGGCTGTGGAGAGTGGCCTCTGCCTAAGCAGGTACCTGAGGCTTTTGCTCTGGCTGAACCAGTGCTGCCGGTCAGATGTCAATGTTCTTCTCTCTAATCTTTCATAAATTAGCTCTGGGTGCAATAAGAACAGGCAGAAAAGTGAAGGTTGGCTTATTTTTGCCCTGTTTTTTCATAGTGGTTCACCTGGTACATTCCACGTGCTTGCTTTTATTGTAGAAGTAGAAAGTAATTCAATGTAACCAGCTGCTGAAATACCAGTTATTTCAGTGTTTTGAGGATGGGTCTATCTACAAAGACAGGGGTCTTTGAAAGTCCTGAAAGGGCTCTAGCAACAGGGTGTGTTTTAAATACCTTGGTTTTAGCTACTTGCCTTTGGAGAGGCAAATGCAAACTGTTGATCAATATCTGAAAATCAGTTGAAAGAAGTACTCCTTGCACGGGGCCAAAGAGGAGATGGGAGCAGCTCACGAAGGAGTGGGGCATACAGATATTACCAAGAAATGTTCTGGAAAATACATTAAGATGGTGAAAAAAGTGCAATTTTTAGTTAATAGACCCCAGCAAAAGAACCTTCTACCCTTTCTTTGCACTAGTGCTGTTTAAAATAAACCCCAAACCAATGCAAAATAGACATTGGGTAAGCTTTGCCTTGCTTTGACCTGATGCCTTTCTCATCATAAAGGCCGTATTCAGTGGGCGGAGTCATACCTTGTATTTCCTGTGTTTTAGTTACTTCTTGATAGTAAATTGATATTGCAAATTCTATGCTAAGGCTTGGTCTGCCTTGAAATGAAGCTGCATTTCCCGTATGACACTACAATAAAGTGTCAAGTGCAAAGAGCTGAGGGTAATGACCGGTGAGATGGAGAAACATTTTCTCTCTTATGGAAGGTTTTTAGCCCGAGAGTGGGATTCTGGATGTGTTGATGACTGGAGCTTCTTCCAGTAATCTCATCTTCCTTTTAGAAAGGAGAGCAGAGAGGAAAATGGCTCTAATTTGTGCTTTACTCTTATTGTTATGTCTTCTGTCCTCTTTCAGATGACTTGAGAACCGTGTGCTCCAGGCTACCGCACAACAAGTAAGAGACCTTTCTACAGCTGTGTTGGTTTTTGTGCATATTCCGAGACATGCTGTTGAGGCAAAATCCCCTCTAAAAATCTGTGTTTACTTCCTGGAAGTCAACCTTTATTTTACTTTTTCCCTTGCAAGCTGGAGCCGTGACTGAAGGAGACTTCAGTGACTCCCACCACAGAGATGGTCATGCCCAGCCTGGGTTAGAACAAACACACAGAAGGGGAAAATGAAATCCCAGCGTGGAACCTGCCCCAGAGTTATCCCATCCCCAACTCCCTGCTGGTTTTACCTGGCCCTGAGCTTAACTGCGCTTTGCTTCTCGCCTCTGTGCAAAGAGAAAAGGGGAAAGGGATAAAAAAGAAAGTTTCTGGGAGCTGTGAAGAGCGTAATTGAATCACTGCCCTCTTCCCTCTCAGCAGTGGTGTGTGCTGATTAGGAATTCTCCTTGCAGCCAGGTCCTTGTGGGCTGGGGAGAGCCATGACAAAAGCTTTCTCCAAATGACCCTCACGCCTGTCTGAATTTCTCTCCACAGCCTGCTCCAGCTGGTGATTTCGGGTCCAGTGCAGCAACCCACCCACGGCGCTCTGCCACCGGGATTTTATCCTCATATCCATACTCCTCCTCTGGGCTACCCCGCTCACGCTGCCCACCCGGCACTCCCGGCTCACCCGGCGCTCCCGGCTCACCCCGTCCAAACCTTTATACCAGGAATGACATTCCCTTACCGACCCATTCGCTAAGACACCCAGACTGTAGAGTTGTGTGTCCCCCACCCCCATTTCCCTTAGTTTGAGGAAGCCTTTTTGGCGGTTTGAAACCAAACCTCTCGGGAACCACATTTTTCCCCTTTGGGGTGAAGCTGGGCGATGCCGGCCGGAGGGATCGGCCCTTCGGCAGCGGGGAGGACGTGGGGCAGGCAGGCTGCAGGCCATCCCGAGGCGGGATGCAGATCCTAGGGAGGACAAAAGGAGGGGATGGGGGGGAGGAAAAAAAGCAACAGGAACTCCAAACCCCTGCAGTGTGTGGAAATTTTTCATTTTTGATCCACGTTGCTTCCTATCATCACCAAGGGTATGAGATTTCTCAGTCACAGGGGAGATTTTTTTCAGTCTCCCCCATCTGTTTACGGCACGATGAGCCCAGCTCTAGGAGATCCAGAAGGAAAGGCCTGAGGTTTGGTTTTGTTTTTTTTTATCATCCAAGCTCGTCTACTCCAGCCTGCTCGTTTCTCTGTAAATGTTTGTATCTATAGCTACAGAGTATGTGTACACTGTATATTTTTGGAACACAGACGTTTGTTTCGGAAGCACAAGGTAGAGTAAAAGCAGCACTTCCTATTAAAGGAAACAATTTGCAAAGCGTCAAATAATTCTGCCGCCGTGTCTTTCCAATAGCAATTAGAAGGCCTGACTCGTTAGGCCGGGGAGGGAGCACAACCCCCTCGTGGCTGCAGTGACCCGCCATCTTCCAGACTTGGCAAATCCCTTCTTTCCACTCTTCAGTCAGTAAGTTGTGGAATTTTGGGGTGAGATTTGGTGTGTTTAATTAATTTCAGTGGGCAGAAGCGGCCGGCTGTGGGGTGCTGGCCGGGTGGGCAAAGGGGGACAGGGGGTGCAGAAGCCTCCTGGGAAGGGCAGCAGGACTTGCTGCTGTGGGCATGAAACTGTGATTCTGAGCCCCCTCTTCTAGGTGAAAAAGTGAGAAAAAAAGGTCCTTTCTACACGACTTTTACAAAGATCTCCACTGCTGTCCCTGTTGGAGGAGATGTGGTGGCTGCGGTGACGTGGTTGCACGCTGGCTGTGAAAATGGGACAGATTAGCTGGAAGTTGTGAAAATCTGATTGGAATGGAGGAGGAAACTGGTTGCCCTTCCCTGGAAAGGGGAGGTAAATAATAATAATAATATTATAATGACGTGCTTTAACTTTTGGTCATCCTGAAGTGGTCGGGCAGGTGGACTAGGTGATGGCTGTAGGTAACTTCCGACTGGAATATCACGTCATATCCCATCTCACTTTGTAGAGCTTCAAAGACAAGGAAAAACCCTTAAAACCATCAAATTTTAGGGTTAAAGTCGTTATTAGCATTGAGCCTCGGTGCTCTTTGCAGTGTAAGACTTGGGGGGGGGGGAAACCGCCGGAGAGGCCTGCCATCACCCCGCGCCCAGTTCCCCAAGCGTTTACGCTCGAGGCCGCATCGCTAATTGTAATTATCCCCTTTAATTAGCGGCTTTGCTTTGGCGCTCTGAGCGCGGGGGGGGAGAAGTCCTTTCTGCGCCTGCGCGGGGCGCGCCGGTCACGTGATAGCGGCCAGCCTATGGGGAGGCGTTTTGCTACGGGGTGGCGCTCTCCCCCTCACTCCCCTCAGGGAAAGGAAGTGCCCGTCGGTGTCCGCTCCCCCCCCAGCTCCTAGGCCGCGCTGATCGTCTTTAAATGTTTAATTATGTTGACAGTGCTGAGTTTGAACTCTTATTCTGGCCAGCAGTATCTTTAACTTTTGGTCATCCTGAAGTGGTCGGGCAGGTGGACTAGGTGATGGCTGTAGGTAACTTCCGACTGGAATATCACGTCATATCCCATCTCACTTTGTAGAGCTTCAAAGACAAGGAAAAACCCTTAAAACCATCAAATTTTAGGGTTAAAGTCGTTATTAGCATTGAGCCTCGGTGCTCTTTGCAGTGTAAGACTTGGGGGGGGGGGAAACCGCCGGAGAGGCCTGCCATCACCCCGCGCCCAGTTCCCCAAGCGTTTACGCTCGAGGCCGCATCGCTAATTGTAATTATCCCCTTTAATTAGCGGCTTTGCTTTGGCGCTCTGAGCGCGGGGGGGGAGAAGTCCTTTCTGCGCCTGCGCGGGGCGCGCCGGTCACGTGATAGCGGCCAGCCTATGGGGAGGCGTTTTGCTACGGGGTGGCGCTCTCCCCCTCACTCCCCTCAGGGAAAGGAAGTGCCCGTCGGTGTCCGCCGCCGCCGGTCCCTCAGCCCTTTCTCCTCCTTCCGCCGCCCCCGGTATGCTCTGAACTGCCCCCGCCCGCTCCGCGGCGCGTCCGCCGCCCCTCCGAGGTGAGCGGGGAAGCGCGGTGGGGGGTGTCCGTCGCCGGGGGGGGCGGTGTTGCCATGGCGACCTGCGCCCGGGACG